AACTAATAGATGTTGTGACTCAAATGAATTTAACAAACATATAGAACATTTCACCCAAACACAAAATATACCTTCTTCTCAGCACCTCATGGAACCTTCTCTAAAACTGACCACATATTTGGTCACAAAGCAAATCTCAAAAGATAGAGAAAAATGGAATAACTCTCTGTATCTTATCAGATCACTGTGGCTTAAAGTTAGAATTCAACAACATTAATTGCAGAAACCTACTGACTCATGGAAACTGAACCATGCTCAGCTGAATCACCACTGGGTCAAGGAAGAAATAAAGAAATTAAAGATTTCTTTAATTTAAGTGAAAATGAAGGCATAACGTACCCAAACTTATTGGACACTTTGAAAGCAGTGCAAAGAGGAAAATTCATAGCACTAAGTGCCCACATAAAGAACCTGGAGAAATCCCACAATAGTGACTTTAACAGCACACCTGAGAGCTCTAGAACAAAAAGAAGCAAACTCACCCAGGAGGAGTGACAGGAAAGAAACTGAGGGCTGAAATCAATAAAATAGAAACAAATAGAACAATAAAAAGAATCAACGAAACAAGGAGTTGGTTCTTTGAGAAAATCAACTAGACAAACCCTTATCCAAACTAACCAAAAGGCAGAGAGAATATCCAAATTAACAAAATCAGAAATGAAAAGGTGGACATAACAAAAAACACTGAGGGAATTCAGAGAATCATCAGGTCATACTTCAAAAACCTGTTCTCCACAAAATTGGAAAATGTAAAAGAAATGGACAATTTTCTGGATAGGTATGACTTACAAAATTAAATCGAGACCAGATAAACAACTTAAACAGACCCCTAAGGAAATAGAAGCACTCATTAAAAGTCTTACCCCCCCCCAAAAAAAAGTGAGGGCCAGATGGTGACAGCACAGAATCCTACCAGAACTTCAAAGAAGAACTAATACCAATACTCCTCAAATTGCTCCACACAATAGAAACAGAAGGAATGTTGCTAAACTCTTTTTATGAGGCTACAGTTACCTTGATACCAAACTACACAGACACAACTAAGAAAGAGAATTACAGACCAATCTCCCTTATATACACTGATGCAAATATACACAATAAAATACTGGCAAACCGAATCTAAGAACACATCAGACCCATCATCCACCATGATCAAGTCGGCTTCATCCAACAGATGCAGGGATGGTTCAACATACGAAAATCTGTTAATGTAATCCACCATATAAATAAACTGAAAGAAAAAAAAAACCCATATGATCATCTCATTAGATGCTGAAAAGGCATTTGACAAAATCCAACACCCCTTAATGATAAAGGTCTTAGAGAGAGCAGGGATACAAGGAATGTATCTAAACATAATAAAAGCAATATACAGCAAGCCAACATGAAACTAAATGGAGAAAAACTCAAAATGATTCCACTAAAATCAGGAACAAGACAAGGCTGTCCACCCTCTCCATATCTATTCAATACAGTACTTGAAGTTCTAGCTAGAGCAATAAGACAACAAAAGGAAATCAAGGGGATATAAATTGGAAAGGAAGAAGTAAAACCTTTGCTATTTGCAGATGATATGCTAGTATACATAAATGACCCAAAAAATTCTACCAGGGAATTGGTGATAAACACCTTCAGCAATGTGGTGGTATACAAGATTAACTAAAAAAAAAAAGAAAAAAGAAAAAAAGAAAATCAGTGGCCTTCCTATACACAAATGATAAATGAGCTGAAAAAGAAATCAAGGAAACATCACCCTTTACAATAACCACAAATGACAAAATATCTTGGGGTAACTCTAACCAAACAAGTGTAAGACCTGTAAGACAAGAACTTTAAGTCTCATAAGAAAGAAATCAAAGAAGATATCATAAAACAGAAAGATTTCCCATGCTCTTAGATAGGTAGGATCAACATAGTAAAAATGGAAATCTTACCAAAAGTAATCTACAAATTCAATGCAATCCCTATCAAAATTCCATCACAATTCTTCACAGACCTCAAAAGAATAATACTCAACTTCATATGAAAAACAAACAAACAGGGGGCTGGAGAGATGGCTCAGTGGTTAAGAGCATTGCCTGCTCTTCCAAAGGTCCTGAGTTCAATTCCCAGCAACCACATGGTGGCTCACAACCATCTGTAATGGGGTCTGGTGCCCTCTTCTGGCCTGCAGACATACACACAGACATAATACTGTATACATAATAAATAAATAAATAAATAAATAATTAAAAAAAAATAAAGAAAAACAAACAAACAAAAACCCAGGATAGTCAAAACAATCCTGTACAATAAAGGAACTTCTAAAGGTGTTACCATCCCTGACTTCAGGCTCTACTATAGAGCTATAGTAATAAAAACAGCTTGGTATTGGCATAAAAACAGACACATGAATCAATGGGATCGAATCAAAGACCCTGACATAAATCTACATACCTATGAACAACTGATTTTTGACAGTCAAAATTGTACAATAGAAAAAAGAAAGCATCTTCAGCAATTAGTACCAGCGTAACTGGATGTTGATATGTAGAAGAATGCAAATAGATCCATAGTTATCATTACGCACAAAACTCAAGTCCAAGAGGATCAAACACTTCAATATAAATCCAGCTACACTGAAACTGATAGAAGAGAAAGTGAGAAGTAGCCTTGAACAAATGGGCACAGGAAACCACTTCCTGAATATAACACTAGTAGCACAGACACTGAGAGCAACAGATAACAAATGGGACCTCCTGAAACTGAGAAGTTTCTGTAAGGCAAAGGGCATGGTCAATAAGACAAAATGAAAGCCTACAGAATAGGAAAATATCTTCACCAACCCTACATCTGATCTCCAAAATATACAAAGAACTCAAGAAACTAGCCATCAAAATACCAAATGATTCAACTAAAAAAAATGGGGTACAAAAATGGGGTACAGATCTAAATACAGAATTCTCAACTGAAGAAACTCAAATGGCCAAAAGACATTTGAGGAATTGCTCAACACCCTTAGCCATCAGAGAAATGCAAATCAAAACGACTCTGAGATACCATTTTAAACCTGTCAGAATGGCTAGAATCAGAAACACTGATGACAGCTTATGTTGGAGAGGATGTGGGGTAATGAGAACACACTTCCATTGCTGGTGGGAGTGCAAACTTGTACAGGCACTTTGGAAATCAGTATGGCGGTTTCTCAGAAAATTGGGAATCAATCTACTTTGAGACCCAGCAATACCACCCTTGGGCATAAAAGGATGTTCAATCATACCACAAGGACATGCTAGCTATGTTCATAGCAGCATTATTTGTAATAGTCAGAACCAGGAAACAACCTAGATGTCCTTCACCGGAAGAATGAATAAAGAAAATAGGTACATTTGCACAATGGAGTATTACTTAGCAGTAAAAACAATGACATCTTGGAATTTGCAGGCAAATGGATGGACCTAGAAAAATAGAACCCTGAGTGAAGTATGCCAAACCCAGAAAGACAAACAGGGTATGTACTCACTCATAAGTGGATATTAGACATAAAGAAAAGGATAACCGGGAAACAACCTACAACCCCTGAGAAGCTAGCTAACAAGGACACTAGAGAAACATGCATGGATGCCCCTAGGAAGGGAAATTAGGTAAGATCGCCTGACTAAATTTAGAGGGGGGGAGGGGTGGAGAAATGGCTCAGAGGTTAAGAGCACTGGCTGCTCTTCCAGAGGTCCTGAGTTCAATTCCCAGCAACCACATGGTGGCTCACAACCATCTGTACTGAAATCTGGCGTGTGGGCATACATCGAGGCAGAATGTTGTATACATAATAAATAAATCTTTAAAAAAAATTTAGGAGTGGGGTGAAGGGAAGGGGAGAAGGACATGAAGGAAAGGGATGGTTGGTTGGGGGAGGGCCAGAGAGGGAGATCAAGGAAAGAGATATCTTGATAGAGGGCACCATTATATGGTTAGGGAGAAATCTGGTGCTAGGAAAACTCCCAGGAATCTACAAGGATGACCACAGCTAAGATTCCTAGCAATAGCAGACAGATAGCCTGAATTGGTTTTCCCCTGTAATCAAATTGATGACCACAGTAATTGTCATCATAGAACCTTCACCTAGTAAGTGATGGAAGCAGATGTAGCGATCCACAGTTAAGCACGGAGCAGAGCATCCAGAGTGCAGCTGAAACGAGGGAGGAGCAATTATATGAGCAAAGGGCCACTGGTAATGGGACCAGGATTTATCCCCAGTGTATGAACTGGCTTTTTGGAGCCCATTCCATATGGAGGAATACCTTGCTAAGCTGCAATTCAGGGGGTGGGGTGGGGAGGGGCTTGATCCCGCCTCAACTTGATGTGGCAGACTTTATAGACTTCCTATAGGAGGCTCTGCCCTTTCTGAGTAGTACATAGGAGGTTGGGTTGGGGGAAGATGTGGAGGTGGAATGGGAAGAGGAGAGGGGGGGGGAATTAGTTGGTATGTAAATTGAAAAAACCTTTTAAATAAAAAGATAAAATAAAACAAATCGGAATTTGAGGTTTAGATCGGTGAATTAACTGCTGTTAAAGAGAAGAACTACCGCCTATTCTCAATTGCCTTATTTCAAAGGCTCTACTTTGTCCACCCTGTTGCAGTATTTCTTAAATGTTCATCAACAGTGTTACCCAGCTCGTTACACAACTCTCAAGGCTTGGGAGAAACATTTGTCCTGAGAATGACACTTTCTAACTTTGAAAAGGGTTAGGGGCAAAAGTAGGAGTCGCCAGAGAATAAGTTGAGATATTTAGAAGAGAGAATGTTGTACTTTATCCCAAACTTCATGCCTGGCTTCATTTGATTTTACTTCTGAAATGTTAGTGGTTATTCTCTGGCAGCCCTTGGTGAATACTTAAGGAACCAGCCCTCATTTTTCCTGCCGAAAGTGAAGGATGCCAGTAAAAACACATGACCACAGCAGAACCGGGGCATTTCTCTCACCGTCTAAGCGCTGGGTTCAGGGGATTAATAGACTCTTTACCTTTGGTGCCAGGTGGCTGCAGATTATCTCCAGTCAAAGAACACCAGCCCACAGGAAAGATGTCCCGGGAGTCAAAGCGGCACCAATAATCAAATGCACCTCGCCACCCATCAAAAGTGACAAGCACCTCTGAGCCTCGAACTTCTCCAATAGTGGCTGGGCAAATGAAATGAGGGTTCTTTCTGTCTACAGCTTCTAACTTCATTCCCATTTTGAAGAAGTTGTGGGAAGGTGATGGTGGCTCCTAGATGAGAAAAAGAAATATTCAGACCTACCTCTAAGTTGTGAGGTGGATACACAGATCAAACTTCAAATAAATTCATTGCCCACTCTATTCTTTTCTCCTAGCAATGAGTACCTGGCTGGAAACAACCCTCTACTTTGCCATCCTTCAGCATTATTTTGAGGTGTTCTTTCTCTTTCATCTTTCAAATGAATTAATCAGCTTTTCTAGATAGATAGGAAAACTATATTGGATTTGAACTGGAACTGCAATGCATTTAGACTGACTTGGGAAGAAATAACATTCATTACTGATAACATTAAACCTTATCTATGAACACGATAGCCTTTTCCATTTAAAATTTCTTTAATATAGATTTCTCCTTTATATAAAAATTTAAATCTCATTTATAAATATGTCACACTTAAAATTTTTTGTTACATTTATTCATTTTGTATGTGGGTGTGTGATACATGTGCTACGGCACATATGTAGTTAAAATACAACTTAAGGGAGTTGATTTTTTTCTACCATGTAGGTTCCAGGGGTAAGACTCAGGTTATCAGGCTTGGCAGCAAGCACCATTATCCACTGAATCATCTTGCCATTTCTTCGTGCTTACTAACATTTTTTAGGCATATTAATATTCCATTTTAACCATGAATGGTATTTTAAAAATTTATTATCAAACTATGGAGGCTGCAGAGATGGCTCAGCGGTTAAGAGCACTGGCTGCTCTTTCAAAGGTCATGAGTTTAATTCCCAGCAACTACATGGTGGCTCACAACCATCTGCAATGAGATCTGGTGCCCTCTTGAGGAAGAGACCTGGTCAGTCGTCCTCATCAACTTAGACTATGAAACCCAATATGGACAAGTTAAACAGATCCACCATATACGGGCCGCCCATGCATGCTTCAGCATTGCTAGGGCATAAATTTCATTTTTTTTCATTCAAAATTTCTATAAGGTAGGAATAAATGATGCTTTAAAAGTTGATCAATATACTGATTAATAAATGAAATTCTGTCTGCTTTATTTATCAATCACTGAGAGAGACACATGGGAATATTTCCTACTGATTGCAGGTTTTCTAGTTTTGTTGTGTGTTGCAGAATGAGGCCCTCCGAGCAACAGCTGCCATCTTCAGAGCAGCTGTGTCTGCTTACAACAGATCAGCACTAGCAGCCCGCCGGTGTTCCCTCAGAGAAAAGGTCACTGGGCCTTCTCCTGAGTTGTGGCTACTCTCTTCTGTAGTTCCCAGTCATTTGTGTGCAGTTCTGCCATAACTGCACACAGTCTTAGGGTCTAGTGAGGTACTAGAGTACATAGGCTTGGAAGGCTCTCTGGAGAGAGGAGCTCCACCTACTTATGTAGCTACTGGGAAGTCATCATCCCTGCTGGATCCAGGGTAGCTGCTGTGAGGTCACTTACATTCCCGAAAGCAACCCTTCACTGTGCTTTGGAAGTTTGCCCAATGAACTCACTGAGTTTCCTAGGATGAACTTTGCTTTGTCATTGGGCCTTATAAGGAAAGGCTAGACAGTGCCTACAACTTCCTAGTGAAGGAATTCCCACACCTCCATTGATTGTCATTTTTTCCTTCATGTACTCTGATGCTATTTTTATGGAGCACATGTACTATGATTGTTTTGTTTTCTTGGTGAACTGTATGTTTTAATCATCACCTAGTGACTTCTTCAGTATTTTTTAGTATCAACATCTGACTTAAGTATATATCAATTTTATCTTTTATGCTCCCCCCTCTTTATATATATGCACATATACACACACCACACACATATACATATATTTGATATAGAGTTTTAAAATGGATCCATGGCTTGTCTGGAGCTTGCTTTATAGACTACACTGTCCTTGAATGCATAAAGATACACTTGCTGCCTCCTCTACCTCCCAAGAGTTGGAATTTAAGGCATGTGCCACCCTGTCTGGTAACTACTATAAATATTTTTATGTTATTACATTTAAGTAGTGTCTGTTCCAAATGGTATGTTGTAATTAAAAAGTTTCTCATGATAACCAGGGTATCAGAATACTTATTTATTTACTTATTTATTTTTTGAGAGGAGGTCTATGTTTTCCAAGTTTGACCCAAATGTCTGGGTTAAAGGGATTTTCCCATTTTAGCCTCCTGAAAACTTGAACTGCATACAAGTAGGTACCACTGAGTCCATCTTCCTTCCTTCCTTCCTTCCTTCCTTCCTTCCTTCCTTCCTTCCTTCCTTCCTTCCTTCCTTCCTCCCTCCCTCCCTCCCTCCCTTCTTTCCTTCCTTCCTTCTTTGTAGCATGAATTCTAACTATTCTTAATAAAAGCCTGGAGTCAGATATTAGGGGGTGAAAGCTGAGGGATCAGAGAAGCAGTGCAGCCAGTCACTAGAGACCTTTTACCCCTACTAAATCCTCAAACCAAAAGGGCGATCCTGTCCTCAGATTGTGTCCTCTGATGGACTGCTTCAGACTGCATCTCGAGACTGCATCCTCCGATTGCAACAGTCTCCACCAAACCTCAGACTGCATCCGAGCTTGTCTCCTTCCAATTTCTCTCTGTGCCCAGCCATATCTCTTCCTGTCTCCACTTCCCACGTACTGGATTAAAGGTGTGTGCCACCACTGCCTGGCCTCTAGTGGCTTAGCTCTGAACTCTGATCTTCAGGCAAGCTTTATGTGTTAAAACACAAACAAAATATCACTGCCTTTATTCATTAATTCATTCATTCTTTTTGGTTTTTCAAGACAGGGTTTCTCTGTTTAGCCCTGGCTGTCCTGGAACTTACTTTGTAGAGTAAGCTGGCCATGAATTCGGAGATCCACCTGCCTCTGTCCTCCAAATGCTGGAATTAAAGGTGTGCACTACCACCACCCAGCTATATTTATTACAGACATGTTACTGTTTATGTTTCTATTTAGCTTGATTTATGGTTTACTTTTAAATTAAGTTTCCTATACTTTCCTCCACTTGCTGAGAAGTTAAACATTCTATTTGTAAGTGTTTTGTGGATCCCTTATGATTTTAACTATATGGCTGATACACAAATTCTTAAACATCTTTCTTTATTAAAAGTTCTTCCCTTTTTCTCCTTTACTGACTCAGAAGTTATTCTATTATAATTGTTTTGTAGATTCCCTTAAGAATGTAACTGTATAGATGACATAATCTAAACCATCTTTATTTATAGTCCTAGACAATGGAAGGACTTTAGATAGTTTTAAACTACTCCTAGGTAATACTGTGATAAGTAATTACTTCTTACATCGCTTTTACTCCTGATTAACAACTTTTGTTATTATTATTAGAGTACATAGAATCTACATGTTAACAAACCCATTTCCTCCCCAATTCTTCTTATATCTCATTCCTACTCTGTGGTTCAATTGCTTTCTTTCTTAAACACACTCAGTAACTATGGTAGGCTCTGCCTACACTGGTCTGTTTGATAGTCTGATTTTTACCTCCATTCTGATATGGGAGTGTGGTTAGGTATCAACTCCAAGGTAGATAGATGACTTAGTACTTTGTAACATAATGTATCGCCTTTCGTTCGAACTGCTGCAGTGGAGGAATGTGCTACGGCTAAAGTAACCCCTATGAAGGCATCCTGCTGATTGCTTGCTCAGACCTTATGTTTTGACCTTAGTTTCCTACAGTTTTAAGACTGCCTTATTCTTATAACGCACATTTGCTTTGATTATACATGCTGGGAAACTCATGACCTTTTCAAATGCAACTCCTTTTTACTCTTTCTAACTAGTCTTCCTGGGTTTCATGATCTCCAAGTACGAAGCTTCCTTATATTCTCCTTGTTTTATCTCCTTGGTAAGTACTTCCATTTCTTTATTTCTCATTTTATAGTCTGAGGGGGAAACTCCTTATAGATAGTATATTTTGGTGTATGTCTTTTAAGTTACACATGTGCTATTAGTCTTTAATACCAAAGGTTTAAAATGTCTCAAGTTTCATTTTCAGATGTTCAATTTGGTCCTTTTAAAAATGTGGCGTTTAAAAATGGTGTTTTGAGCTATTAAGATGGCTCAGTGGTTAAAGGCATTTGTTGACAAATCTGATAATTCAAGTCCCATCTGCAACATGAGTTCCATCCCCAGGACTCAAAGAGTGGAAGGAGAGAACCCACTCCTGTAAGTTGTGGGTCCTTTGACTTCCATATATGTATGTTATGATAGGTACCCCTCCCTACAAAATAAAATAAATATATAAATATAAGTTAAAAATAAAAATTATTTCATATTTCTTCTAGTTCTTCAGGCATTTTCAAATACTTAGGTTTTACCTTATAGCTGATATTTGTATTGTCTGCAACTACTTGGGGTGTCTCTATCATGTGAAGTCTAGACAATCCAAACATAAGGGAGATGGCTGCACCCCAATTTCTTCACAGAGTCTCTTCCTGAGAAATGTCACTATCTTTTTCACTAAGGGCTAAAATGTAAGTGATTGGGGCAGGCCCTAAGATCTTCTTAACCTTGCATGGATCCAAACCTCATCTTGAGTTTTACCAAGAGTCTATAAAGTAAGATTGGCAGAGCCCCCACAACAGCTATGCATTTAGCACATATGTTTAACACTGTTGTTTTTCTTATTTCCTAGTAAGCTCCACAAAGCACGAAGGAGAGTATTGATGATTCTTCCTCATACACCCACCTCACAGTTTGAGGTATTTCTCATTCTCAAGTGGCCCAATATATTATATTTGAAAACCAGAATGCTCTTATGATTTAGATTTAATTACCAGCACAGGCAAACTTAACTCAGTCATGTCCACAGTAACTCTCATCCTACTGGAGAACTTAACTACCAGCAGACTGACTTTCTTCTTGAGGCACAGGTTATCCATCCCTGTTCTGTCCCTTACTAGCTATGTGATTTTAAGTAAATTCCTTACTCAGAAGCAGCTAGCTCAGCAGGTAAGAGCACTCACTGTGTACTCTTGCAGAAGACCCAATTTTCACTCCCAGCACCCACATAATGGTTTACAACCACCTGTATTCCATTTCCTGGGAATCTGACACCCTCTTCTGGCCCTCATGGGCACCAGGCATGCATGTGGTACAAATGCATTAATATGAGCAAAACACCCATACACACGAATAAATAAATGCAATTAAAAACTTTAAAGTATGCTTCCTTAATGATTAAGTGAGTTGAGTAATTCTTCATACATATAAGCTAGATGTGGGTAATAAATATGATAATATGTATAAGGCTACAAACATATTATAGATAATTCACATTTTCCCCTATTTAGAACACAGTCTACAGAACTCTGTAAGGATTATACCTTTAGGTTTACACTATATTTCATAGTTCTAATAAACACATCTTAATTTTTCAGTAACCCTATTACTATAGATAAAGGTATCTATAGATAAAGTCAGAAAAGATCTTATCAGATAGATTATCATGTTATTGATAGCTAGAACCCCCAAACCAGAAATCCTGTCTCGTTCTTATGGTCTAATACAATTCTCTGAAGATAACATTTGCTTTATAGATTTTTAAATCTTCTGCTGAACTAGTGTCTGAGAAGCATTCTCATGCCATAGAAATAAAAGAGACAGTGGAGGTTCAGTAATTGATAGAAAGCGAAGGCAAGTATTTGATTTTTTGTTTTTGTTTTTGTTTTGTATTTTCAAGACAGGGTTTCTCTGTGTAGCCCTGGCTGTCCTAGAACTTGATCTGTAGACCAGGCTGTCCTCAAACTCAGAGATCCACCTGCCTCTGCCTCCTGAGTTCTCACCGCTGCCTGGCTAGTTGTTTGATTTTTAAGAAGCTTGCAGATCGTGATAGCTGAGGGATAGTATGTATACCTTATGGAAAATCTTGATGGGAGCCATCTCTGCTCCATTTAGTGTCTTCAAAAGAAACATGGGCCAAGAGGAGGCATTCAATCGAAATCCTGCGGTGAATATAATGGAGATCAGGTTAACAAAAAATGTTCCCAAAGGGCAGGGTGATATCACGTTCTCCCTCCAGAATCTAGCTACTCCTGCCACACCTATGCTGTGACACTCATAGGCCCTTGAAAGGGGTTTAAACATTGGACAAAGGAAATGGCTCATTAGACAGATGAGGAAAAGAGACCCTTTGGAGGGAATGTAAATTTATCCTAGGTAATGCAACAAGTAAGTGGTACAACAGGGTCTCCAAACCAAAGACAAATATAACCATAATTCCTCAAATGCTTTCTTGCATAAATCCAAGACAGATATAATATAGGAAAAACAGATACTTGGAAGTGATATAAACAGTACACTATAAAATTGGATTTAACAGTCTCTTAAGAAAAAACGGTTGATTAAGTAAGTCAGTTTGTAAGTCTAAAAACACAAGTAAGCCAATCAATCACTATAAAACAACTCACTATTTTCCTATGGCTCTCTGAAGACAATCACATATGCACATATACTTTTGGACTTCTTGTCTTCGTAAATAACTAAGATCAATGAATGATGAAACAGAAAAATCATTCTACCCTAAATTATTCATTTCGCCAAAAAGAAGCCTAAACATTTAATTGTCCATTGAAAGCCACAAAGTCAGTGGGAATGTACCATTGAATTAGTGAGTGGTAAAAATTAAGATCATTATTAAATTTGGTCTTCTGATTTGATTCTCAAGTCCTCCTTTCAATTTGGCTTCAAGCCCCTATACTGAAATGATTTTAAAACTGTCTCCCAACCTCAGCCTTATCATGATAGTCAGAGGACAGTCTGTGTCAACGCTGAACATATGGAACTAACAACAGAAAGTTGTTAAGTGTGAAGCTCTGTGCCAATCACTTTCCACTGACTGCTGAATATTTAAGCAGCCTCAAAACATAGACAGTATCTTCATTTTACAGATGAGGAAGGAGACAACAATAAACTAAGGTTTCAAATGTGCAAATGACACAATCTGAGTAAGCAATCTGAGACCTGATCCTATATGCTTATGCACAATGTTGAAATCAATATGAAAGTAAAAATTAAAAATCACCTTTTGGGATTAGCATTAAAAACTAGGTAAATTCATGAGAAAGAGAAAATGAAAGTTAGGAAGATGCAATACCTCCATATGATTTACATTTTCTGTCCCAACCTAACTCTACTAAGTCAACCTTCCTAAAACAAGTAGGTTCTTGGGAGAGCTCATTCCTATCAACAACAGCAATAGCAGGGTGGGCATTTTATTACTTAATCTGAAACTGCCATCTCTTACTCTTTTGTTGCTTAGCCACTTTGCTCTTTTGAAAAACAAAACAAAAACAACATTCTTAACTCCACATGATTTGGTGGGATCTCCATCAGGTTGCCCTATCTACTTGGCCACAGGATGGAAAATAATTCCATGTTGGAGCATCAGACTCTTTTAGATCAAAATTATATGAGTAAATGTGAGTCAATTATCTTGTGGCATTAAAAGTATGCTAAAAAGGGTCATAGCTGTAAGAATATATATAAATTCAGCACTGATACATGGAAAACATTTCCAAATAAGACCAAAGTAGGGCTGGGATGGAGAGAACTATAGCATTTAAAACAGCCTATTATTTTTTTTTTTTAGGGAGGAGGGGGGAAAAGGGAGACGGGGAGGGAAATGGGAGGCGGGGAGGAGGCGGAAAAAAATTTTTTTTCAATAAAAAATTATATTTAAAAAAAATAAAACAGACTATTAAAACACAATACTAGATCATTTCTTGGCCTTCTTGGTTATAAGATTAAGGAACTCTTGCCTCCTTCTTTTCCTTTTCTAATCTGGCTTGAACTAGGTTTTTGACTACTTCATTTGCTTTGATCATAACTGTTTGTTTGCTTATTTGGTTGGTTTTTAAATCCAAGTCCTCCAGAAACTGAGGACTGGTGTGTGTATGTGTGTATAAAAGATAGGGATAGCATGGACGCACACTCAATTAGATTAGATGCCTGCGCAATTAGGAAATTCAGGTTTCATACCCTCAGTTACCTGTCTGACCAGGTAATTTAAACATTTTTAAAGAAAGGGTCTTCCATTTTATTTGGAATTTGAGGAGCTAAAAAATCCTCCCAGCCATATATGGTACAAGGGTATCAGCACAATAGCTAATGTGCACTGAATGTATTACATGTTACATGCCATTTCTTATTTAACATTCGAAATGGTAACATAAGGCAGACACAATTACCTGTACTTTACAGAAGATGAAATGGAGATCGACTAGTAGGTTGTCCAATGTCACATAAGTGTGGTGAGGACAGATTTCAGTATGTGATGGTTTAGTCCTGTATCTTACAGTTCTTTGTTTATTACCTCCTAGCAAGCATCTTTAGGATTAGAAGTGCAAGATACACAAGTTAGAGTGGCAATACTAAGAACTTTAATTCCACGGCCTCCAAGGTGATGTTGATCTCTTTCTCCATCCAAATTCAAGAGAATAAGTATTTTGTATTAATGTTCTTGGAAGTCATAGATATGAGTTTCACATTGGAAAGGAGCTTGAAGGTGAACTACCCAAAGATTTCATATTGTAGAAAACAAAGCTAAAGTAAAGAGAAGACAAGAAATTCTTCATGGACAATGAAGCTGCTTGTGGTCAGGCTGGGATCCTAGGACTTATTTTAATATGTATTTATATGTTTATGTGTGTGTGTGTGGGTGCATGTAAAAATGTTGGCTTCGTGTGCATATGAAGGCTGGAATTGTTTTTCTACCTTATTTTTTTCATAAAAAACACCACACCCATGCTTTTATTCAACCCAATGAGACTATTTGTGTCACAAATAAATAAATTAGAGACATTAAAATAGGAGGAGGATTAGTTGGGAAAGAGAAAAGTAGTAATGGGAAGGGCAGAATAGAGGGTAATAAGAGGTGAATATAATCAAAATACATAACATGCATGCACGATATATATATATATATATATATATATATAACTAAAACATCCTAATAAAACAAATGACAATAATTTTTAACATATATGTTTTCTTCAACTAGAGTAAGATTGATAGGCATTTTACTGAAGGGAAAAGAACTCCATTTGTTAAGTGGGTGTCAAAAATTAATGGATGGGGGCTGGAGAGATGGCTCAGAGGGTAAGAGCACTGCCTGCTCTTCCAAAGGTCCTGAGTTCAATTCCCAGCAACCACATGGGGGATCACAATCATCTGTACCGAGGTCTGGTGCCCTCTTCTGGCCTGCAGACACACACACAGACAGAATATTGTATACATAATAAATATTAAAAAAATTAATGGATGGTTCATCATGTTACTCCATTTGTTTGTCACAAAAGCCACAAGAGATTATTAATTATGTTTCAGGTGAAGCTCAACTGAAACTCAAGGTTAAAATCAAGGTAAAGTAAATTATCCTTGGCCACACAATCTTAAATCAGTCCTGGCGCAGTCTTACATGTGCTCTGTGCTCACTTGCTAGGATTGTTTTAAAATCTTCAAAAAGAAGCTGTTCTGAAGAGTTTCTGGGTGTTCCTGGGGTTGTGAGAATCACTGAATAAGCTACAGTCCAGCTGTCCAGTGAACTACCAAGCCGTGGATTTAAATGTGAATCAACAGAGCATTATTCCAATCATATTTTGCACCCTCTAGTGGCATAAAATAGAACATCATTCACTGCAGGTAACAGGTGAATCCACCCCAGCTAAGACCCTAAGCAGTAGAGGAGAGGGTGCCCGAACTGGCCTTGCCCTGTGGTCAGACTGATGGCTATCTTAAATATCACCATAGAACCTTTATCTAGCAATTGATGGAAACAGGGGCAGAGACCCACATCGGAGCACTGGACTGAGGAGCTCCCAAAGTCCAGTTGAAGAGTGGGAGCAATGAGAGTGTGAGCAAGGAGGTCAAGACCATGATGGGTACACCCACTGAAACAGTCTACCTGACCTAATGGGAGCTCACCAACTCTAGCCGGACTGGGAAGGAACAAGCATAGGACCAAACTAGTTCCTCTGAATGTGGTTGACAGTTGCATGGCTGGGGCAGACTGAGGGGTCACTGGCAGTGGCACCAGGATTTATCCCTACTGATTGTACTGGCTTTTGGGGAGTCTTATTCTCTTTGGAGGGATAACTTGCTCAGCCTATATATTGTATGGGGGTCTTGGACCTTCCCCAAAGCAATGTCTCTTACCCTCTCTAAGGAGTGGATGAGGGTGGGGTTGGGAGGTATGTAGAAGGATGGGAGGAGGGGAGGAAATGGGAACTTGGGTTGGTATGTATAATTAAAAAATATAGTTTCTTTTCTTTTTTAATTAATTAAAAAATTTCATTTTACATTCCAATCACAGTTCTTTCTCTCCCACCCCTCCTCCTGCACTTCCTTGCTGCCTCTCCCAGCCCACTCCCCATCTACTCCTCCCAAAGGAGTTGATTTCTCATGCACATTAAGTTGAGGCACATTTGTAGAATTTGCTGAAGGAGGCGGAGGCAGGAGGATCATGAGTTTGAGGCCATCCTGGGACAATTCTATTTCATAATAAAGTGGTACTATATTTGTATTTTAAGACAGACACAATCAAGTACATATAAAATAACATTGAGTACACGATGATAATTATAACAATAGAGGACAGATTGCCATAACTGTGTTGTTTACTTTTCTATATATTTGAAAATTTTCCACATAATTTTTATATGAAAGAAAATGTTAAACTCTTTCAAATGATACATATCCCTGAAGCTCAATTAACATAGTTCAGCATCTTGAAGGGAACATGGCCCTGAAACCATAACTTAACACTCACTGCAATCAATAGTAACTGTCAGTAACTGATGAGATGGCCTGATTTCCTCAGGTATTGAAGCAGGAAAAAAAAGGAGGATGATGATCTAAAAAAGGAGTGTGATTATTAGTTTAACTAAAAGAATAGATTTCTTTAATAACGAATTCTTAATAAGAAAATTCCAAGGACCAAGTAAGCACTGGGAAAGAAGAACTGGGGGAGGATACATAAAAGAAAACATAAGTGAAACAGTTAAGAGTACAGTTTCTTGTTCAGTTAAAATAGAGTGTGTGAGGACTAGACACCCTATACTAATGAAAAGATAACTTACTTTATATTAGGTAGGTCTTTTAGGGAAACTACTCTGAAAAAGAAAGGGCAGTCATGTGTTCCTGGGCTTCCCCACAACAGGATGTATAATTTTTGAAAGCCAGGGAGAACAGGGTATATAGTTACTCACCTAATGGGGGCTGTAGCATGCCACCATTCTTCTCGCAGTTTCCAACTGGCTGTATCTCAGAGGAGTCAACCAGTCTCCAGAAGTCATTCTTGTTGTCACTGCCATCAAGGCGCAGGCGCAGTCGGGCACCTGTCAGTCCAACTACTGTGGCAATACAGGTGGATGTGGTGTTCCTGGGGTCCTGGGCTTCCAGTTTCATGCTGATCTTGAACTCATTGCTTGGAGGTTTGTAGGACTGAGAAGAACAACCCAAGCAAATTAGACAGACTAAGTATAAACTGCATTTCAGTAGAAATATGAAAGAGGTGAGATTTGAAAATGTATGGACTGGATTCAAATTGGTTATAGATGGCCAAGGATAACCTGTCTGGCGTATTCCCTAACCTTTAGGAAAGATGTTATGCAAATGAAGCATTAGAAAGTAAAAGGAAGGAAAATTCCTTTCCTCTGAAGTAGAAATGCTGACTCACATCAGTACAAGACAGGGTAGGAGTGAATGATGATGTCCGCTGCTCATTTGCTCTTCTACAGCTAACTCACAGACTACTAGGGGTTGACGTTCTTCTTATTTTAATGTTAATTCATACATCAACTATCACTGACATACAGCAAACTGTACATTTTGGTAAGTCTTGACATATGCCATCAGATATACTCTACCTTTGAAAGCACCATTATGATCAAAACAATGACCATGCCTCAAGTCCTCACATGCTGTTCCGTAATTTCCTTCTCCAGCCCCTCTCCTTCTAGTTTTAGATAGAATCATGGAGGAGTACTGTTTTTTATTGTCTAGATTTTTTAGTCAGTGTAAACATTATGATATTCTCAATATTGTTGACCTTATCGGTACAATTGGAGTATATCTCATTTGAAATTATGAAATTCAAAATGAGAAGCTTTGTTACTGACATGCTGGTACAAGAAAATTCTGTATTTGGCATTATATGATGTGTTGAAGTAAAAATATCATTAAAAATATGTATAATTACCTTCAGACCATGGGCATAAGGCATGTAAGAAACAATAATAAATTGCATGCTTAGATGGGCCATATCTACAAGATACTTTACTATATAGGAAAATATTCTAAAATCTGAAATCTAAAACACTTCTGATTTCAACTTAATATCCCTGGATCTGATATGCATTTCTTTTTGTTGCTGAATAGTAGGCCATTTGGTTCAAATCTAGCTTTTGGCTTTTATAAACATGTGGCTATATACATGCACAAATATTTGTATGAAATATACAATAGTACATTGGAAAATACCCTCTATATATGTTAGAACAGGAACCCTTTTACCTACCTACCAATTTTTTCTTTTTTTGAGGTAGGTGTTTCAACCATAGTCCAGCTGTACCTGGATCTCACCATGTTGTTCAGTTGGGCTTCTAATACCGCGGTCTTGCCACTTAGTACCCCAAGTGTTGAGACTAGAGATGTGCACCACCACACCTGGCTTTTCCTAAACATTTCTGGTCTGCTGTTGACTAAATCTACAGATATGGAAGCCACAGACCCATAGATGGAGGGTCATTTTCTTTTCTCTTGCATAAATTTCTAACAGTAGAATGGCTGGCTGATGTGGGTATGTTTGTGTGTAACTGATACACCAAAACTTTTTAGCATATTCATAGTTGACTAAATACCATACCTATCCATTTTGTAACATTTCATCATCATCCTTAAAGAAATCCTATCATTGTTAGGAGTTATCTTCCATTTCCCTCTCTGCAGAGACCTCAGACACTATTAGTTAGCCTTGTATGGATGCACTCCATTTTGCTTACTTATCATTGATGGATATTTGCATTGTTTTCTCTTTGAATATTACACATGACTGATATTAATAAAATTAATTATAATTTTTCCTTAGGAGGTTCATAGCCACACTTCAGTTTGTCTCATACATTAAGACTAGATTAAACTACATTTAGTAATAAAAATACATACCTGTTTAATAATACTTAATTCTTATTTACTACATCAAAGGCAGGAATCAGTTTGTTTTGAGTCAAGGTCCTTAAAGGACTAGGAGACCTCCTCATGCTGCTAAGAGGAACAGTGTAGTGCCTCTGTCCCTTCACCACTGGCAGAATTACATCATTTTTAAAGAGTGATATTTGGCTTTTCTTTCTTTCTCTTGCCAAACTGTTCTAGTTAAAATTTGCTCTAGTTAAAATTTCTAATATTATACTAAATAAAAACTGTGACAATACAAAATTTCAAGACACACTAAGAGCTATACTAACTACAACAGCAGGATATTTCAATTCTTACTGGGACAATATGTTTTCAGTTTTCCTCATTCAGTAGAATGCTGCCTAAATGTCTGTCATATACAGACATTTATTATATTTTTTAAAATGATTTATTTAACTTTTATTTTATGTGCATTGGTGTGAAGGTGTCAGATCTCGTGGAACTGCATTTTTTTTCAGACAGTTGTGAGCTGCCATGTGGGTGCTGGGAATTGAACCCGGGTCCTCTGGAAGAGCAGTCAGTGCTCTTAACCGCTGAGCCATCTCTCCAGCCCCGACATTTATTATGTTAAGGCACAATTTTTCTATACCTAGTACATTCAGGAATTTTCCTATGAATAAATGTTATCACTACTGGTTCTGTATCTATTGAGGCAATCATGATTTCTATAATTCATTCAATTTACGCAAGGTATTATGTATACATTATGTAATATGTAGTTGATTTGTATATTCTGAAACATTCTTGTATCCCTGGAATGAAACCAACCTGAACATAATGTATGATCTTTCTGATAAACTCTTGATTTTAATTTGCAAGCATGTTCTTGAGGATATTCCCTTTTTTGCCCGGTAGGATTATTGCTCTGTAGTTTTCTCTTGTTGTTATGTTGTCAGACTTTAGTAACAGATATTTCAGACTGAACAGAATAAGTTGGGAAGGGTCTCCTCCTTTTCAGTTGTTTTCTACGTTTTAACAATCAGCACATAGGTGCTAGAAAACACTATAACTTTTTCAAAGTATGCTTTTGCTCTTCTTCCCATCTCACCCTTGTTCCTCTGTGTAGTCACATCCACATATACCTATGCACTCCTACATACAATGATTCTTGTCTTCTTCTATGATTTGAGAAGCATTAGTACTGGTTCTTTAGAAGTTTGGATAAACTCAGGAGCTTGAGATGTGGTTCAGCTGGTAGGGTGTCTGCCTGCTGAGTACAAAGTCCTGGGGTTCAATCCCCAATTCTGCATAAACTGGTATGTGAATGCAAGCAGATCAAAAGATCAAGAATGTATAAGACCATCTCCACCTCCTCCCCATACACATGCACATACATACACACACACAAAAAAAAAAAAGAAAGAAAGGAAGGAAGGAAGGAAGAAAGGAAGGAAGGAAGGAAGGAAGAGAAAAAGAAGCAAAGAAGAGATAACAGCAGGGGCTGGAGAGATGGCTCAGCGGTTAAGAGCATTGCCTGCTCTTCCAAAGGTCCTGAGTTCAATTCCCAGCAACCACATGGTGGCTCACAACCATCTGTAATGAGGTCTGGTGCCCTCTTCTGGCCTGCAGGGATACAGACAGAACATTGCATACATAATAAATAAATAAATATTAAAAAAAAAAGAGAGAGAGATAACAGCAATGTAACAATCTGGACCCAGGATCTTTTAGTAAGACTCTATCACTGATTCAATCTTTCAATATTACTATTTCTTGTAGATCTACATTTTGGGGGCATGTACAGGTATGCCTGTGGTGCAGGTGCACACGCATAAGTACACATCCATACAGAAGCCAGAAGAGGCCAGTAGGTGTCCTGCTGTGTCATTTTCCAACTTATTTTTTTGAGACAGAGTCTCTTACTGAAGTTGAGGCTAGGTTGGCAGCCAGCGAGCCCAGAGATCCACAATGCAGGGGTTACATGTTGGTGGTCACGCACAACTTTTGAGTACTCGGGTCCTCATACATGTGCTCTTATCCACAGGTCTTAATTTTTTTAAACTGATTTATAGAACTTTTCATTTTCAAGATTCTGACTTATTCTTTTTTGAAATCCCCATCTCTCTGCTAAATTCCTCACTCAGCATTGCCTTACTAATTTCACTTAACTGCTTGTCTGATTTTCTTGAGATTTTAAGAAATAATTCTTTTGAATTTTCTAACAGGTATTTCATCTACTTTGATCTCTTTGGAATATCTTACTAGAGAGTTATGAATGGACTTTAGGAGACGTTGTATTACCTTGTTTTTCACAGTTCTTGTATTCCTATATTAAAGCTTATATATCTGGTGCAGTGGATACCCTTATCACTTTTATGGAATGGACTTAACATTTTCCAAAGATGTACTTTGTTCATTGACTTATTGATATTCAATGCCAATGCGATTTCCAGTTGAACACCATAGTGTAATCTCTCTGAAGCACATTTGTTTATGATCAGTGAGTTTGGATATAGTGTGTTAATACCAGTTATATCTGTATTATATCAGAATCAGAGAGAACTACTATCTCTCTGGGTGATACAAACAAGACTGGAGATACTCAAGCAGTTCAAGCAAATGTGATATAGAAAGCAGTATGTGTGGGTATACTCTGTGCCTACTCCTATAATGAAACTTGTGACACCTACAAGGTGATTTGTTTCCTTAGGCAATGATGATATTCATTTTATTACTTGAACCCTCTGGCATTTGCTGTTCCAGTAATGAGGACCCTGAGGTACTTGTCCTCTGATTTGACAATGGCATGGGTCGGGTCCAGCACTAGACAGAGAGGGTGTAACAGGAATCTCTGTCTGTGGCACTCATACCCTGACTTAAAAGGAGGGTGTGGTAATACAGAGCGATCAATGCAACGATCAGTGAGATGTAGGGAACGTTGTGTTGTTCTTCTGCGGTGAGAATGCCTGTCCTAGAGTGTTACTTCAGACCTGAAGATGTATGATGGGGACCTCCCCCAGTTTTTCAGATACAGTGCCTAAGAAGGATACAGTGGGGATGGATCATGACTGAAATCTGGCAAATTCCTCCCAGAGAGGTGCTAACAGAAGGGAGGGCAGAATGTGGCTGATACTGGCTATAGTTTCCTTGGACTTTGATAGGCATTGTACCTTGAGGCAGGAGTACAGCTAGGACCATGGGGATGCTCAAATATTTCCAGCACATCTCTGTGGCAGGGGAGTAGTAGAAACCCATTAATTGTTTTTCTAAGTTATAGCAACAAGTTACTATGGGTAGTGGTGGGAAAGGAGTGTCAGGAACAACATGTACAACTATTTCAATCCTAATACCCATGTGAAACACGTCATATGCCACATTTCCAGTTTCAGAAGGTAGTATTAATCTCATGTTTTTGCAAGTGGTAGCCTCCACTTTCCTCCCTGTTATAACATCTGATGCTCAGCTATGTAGGTGATTTGTCTCAGAATCAGTCTATCTAGCCATTTCTGACAAGGCAAAATGCACTGAGCCTGTACAGTAGAATGTCTACCAGTTCCCAGAATTAGGATATACAGAGTTTCTGAATCCTAAAGCAGTTCTAATTCAGACAATAGGTTTCCTTTCAAGATATTATTTTTAATTATGTGTATTTCTGCATGTAGGTATGTATACATGAGTGCAGGTGCCTGCAGGTCCAGAAGTTTTAGATCCCTTGGAGCTGAAGTTACAGATGGTTATGTTACCTGATTGGAATGCTGGAACTGAATTCAGGTCCTCTGAAAGAACAGCTAGTGCTCTTAACTGTTTCTTTTTTCTTTTTAAGTTTTGGATGAGTGAGTTTATTCAAGACCATCAAGCAAAAGAAGTGAATAAGAGACAAGTAGCATAGAAGATGCCAATATATAGCAAAATGTCATCAAACCAGGGGGAAAACATCTGGCAGAGAAGCCTGGAGTTGCCCGGTTGAGAGAACAAACAAGGTAATTCCATCAAACCAAATACCTTGCAAAAATTAGACAGCAGCCCTCACAAGTATTTTTTAAGGAACAAAGTTTATAATTCTGAAATTTTCCTTTTTTGTGTGTTTTTGTTTGTTTTCATGTTTGTGCATGTGTATGACCAGAGGTCAGTGTGAGCTGTCTTCAACTGCTCGTTAGTATTTTTTTTTTTTTTTTTTTTTTTTTGATTTTTCGAGACAGGGTTTCTCTGTGGCTTTGGAGCCTGTCCTGGAACTAGCTCTGTAGACCAGGCTGGTCTCGAACTCACAGAGATCCGCCTGCCTCTGCCTCCCGAGTGCTGGGATTAAAGGCATGCGCCACCATCGCCCGGCATTGCTTGTTAGTATTGAATGGGTGTGTGCTTGCCTTATATGCATGCATGTGGAAGTCAGAGGATGATATCAGGTGTCTTCGTCTGACACTCTTTGCATGCCTACAGTCTTTGACTAGATGTTAGGTATTGCCTATTTTATCATTGGGTACAAGATATTTTTTGCATTTCTATAGATTTTCTTGTGATTTGTTTCTAGATGAAGTTTCCTGGGGACAGTTTGATTGATCCCTTCAATTATTACCTTTATGAGTTTTTTTAATGCATGTCTGGACTATTTCCCATTATCCAAAAGGCTTTCTAATATATTCTTCCAATACTCAATTTATGAAGAGATTTTCCAGGAACTATGCTCAGTCTTGTGTTAGTATCAAACTCTCTTCTAATATTTTCAGAAGGATTTTTATTGGCCATAAGTAGTTTCCTGTCACTCAACAGCAATACTTTCCCAAATAAAGATGATCCTCTATAGACCTTTTGGGTTTTGTTATGTTAAATGTCCATCTTCTCTGACATAGTGACCTGTAAGTTTTAGCTACTTTAATGGTTCTGAACTCTCAGTTCCATGTCCTTGAATTAGGGAATTTGATGGCTCAACCTAAAGTTAGCCTTCCTTGAAACATGATCTGGATCCAAGAGGTAAGCTGCAAATCACACAGGCTTAACTCATTTGTTTCTTATTTCTCAGATCACTGTTTAGTTCCTGATCTTGGTGATCTGAGCGCTATTGCTTAGTATATTTGACTTAAGAATATTTTAGGTAAACATATGAACTAAGACAATATATTTCAAGTAAAGAGAATATGTACTTTTACTTAGAAAGTAGATATAACTTAAAATGAAATGTTGATTAGGAAATAACTGAGGACCGAAGGAAGAGTGATATAAAGAACCTGTAGCATCCTGCTCTATTTAGCAACAGTGAACTGCTTAGGTTACCAACCTTACTACACATTGACATGGAATCATCACCACACATTGTCTAGAACACTTAATTCTATGCAAGAAGCTATGAATGACTCAAAAAATGTCCCCTAGTAAGACTGGGGTCAGTGTTATTAAAGAAAGGTAAGATTGTGACAGAGGTGTTGAACACAGGAAAAGGCTCCACATTCAAAAACCATCTAAAAACCACAATTCTCTTTCCTATCTCTCTGAATTAAAAGCTCCAGAAAAAAAAATACCCCCCCCCAAGTAACAATAACCTTGGAGAAAAGAAGGTGTTCTGTGAAATGAAGTTTGGGGGAGGCCTAGTGCTAAAACTCAATGACCAACTTTTACTTGAGCTCCTCTCATACAACTTCATCTTAGGGTCCTCAGGTAAGAAGTCAAAGGCTCCTACCTCATGTTCTGATTACTCAAGCACCAGAAAACACTGTCTCCCACCTACTAACCATGTTGAAAATTAATTACCTGCTTGAAGCAATGGACAGGTGCTGGGACTGAACATGTTTCTTTTAGGTATTTGTCCCAGGTAAAATGACCTGTAAAGGAAATAGAAATCTCTATCACAGTCAACTTCCTTTAAAAAAAATGCTTTTAGGATGTACTCTACACTAAATATCAAGCAAGCAATTAGTGGAATGGTTTTAACTTTTTTTCCCATTTATTCTTGATCAAAGGTAATCTTAGAGGGAAGAATCTGAGTGCCCTGGATGAACCTTTTTAAACTAATGTTTTAAAATCATAGTCTTAAGATGACCAATGCTGTTTTACAAGTTAGTCCCTAGACTGACTAAAAATTCTAGAATAGAGTATATTAGTATTTAAAAGAAATACCAAGAAGCCATGGAAAGCGGAGAAGGCTGAAGGTAGTGGAGAAATTGTTCTTCTTGAACAATCTGACTACTCGAGAGGCCCTGCACTGCGGTCAGGGAACATGATTTAGTACCCAATATGGTTTGATCCCACACCTCAACTTAGGAAGTATAAAGCAAAGACTGTCTAGAGAAATAGGCAAGCGGATTTCAGGGGAGGGAAAGCAACATGAGTGAGATAAATATTCTTCAGTCCTCACCTTTTAAATCGCCACTCCAGGTACAAAATGTTGTACTGAGGTACAGAATGATGGGTATGTGATAGTCTAGCTCAAAGTAGGGTTTGAAAAGCAATTCTGATGATAAGGAAGAACAAACCGGGTTGTCTACAAAATCTTTTAGTCTCTTGATGTTGCCTCAAGTATGTCAAAGTCTAAAGAACAATGAACTAGAAGGGCAGTCTTTAAGGTGGCACTGACACTGTTCTGGGGCTAGGACAACATGGAAAGGCATATGCTGTTTTATACGAGTATCATTAGCCCACAAAAGATTACCAAGTTCTTTATTTCAAAATTAAAGCAATTTACAGTTTTCACCTAATACCCACCTAGAGGTGACCCCATGATGGAGCAGGGAAGGTCCCAGAGACTCTCACAAGCTAAAACACTGTAGCAAACCAGCATTTCTTGAAGTTTCCTCTGTAGTGGACCAGCACAGGGCCCATTTGGGCCATGCAAAAAGCACTAGCTGCTGGGAATAAAATGAATTACTGAATAATGATATCTAAGTCACAACAAATATGATGCCAAGACTTTACACTATTCTGACTTTATAGCTTCTGCTTTAAAATCGGTTCCTTTCCCACCATTCTTAACTAAGCAAATAGGTACGGCCAGAAATCTCAATCAGTTCTGAAGTAGTTCAAAAGCCAGTCCATGATTAAATAACATGACCAGAAAGTCCATACAGTAAACGAGAGAGTTATGTCCTGGAGTGAAGATTTAAAGAGGTTATCAAAATTCAATAACGAATTTGCTTGCTATTAGTTGATAAAGTCTTAAGTCGAGGACTGAATAAATGTTATCATTATTTGCTATTAGAAAAAGAAAACATTGAAATTATTACATTTTTACAAATGAAAGATTAAGTAAAATTTTAAGTCTTGGCTTTCACTGGCCTGAGACCCTAGAGCAGCAAATCCAGTTTAACTTTTCTGTGCTGACAGAAATGGATGGTGTATCCATGTTATCCAATAGGATAGCGCTAGCATATAACTTTTACATATAACTTTTGAAACTTTTAAATGTGACTAGTGTAAGGAAATAAATTTTAAATTTTATTTAACTTTAAATAATTTTACAATGTACATATTACTCACAGCTAATATTCTAGAAAACAAGGTCTAAAAGCTTAGCCAATTCTGAGTAATTTCTTTTATTAACTTGAGTTCTGATCAAAAGTACCCAAGAGACTTTGATTTTAAGAATTATGGCAGCATCAATTACAGTTGTCTATTAGGCATATCAACCATGTTAATCAACTCCTGTGCTATAAGTGTGTTACAAGGTAAAAAGGCCAGAAACCTCAGGCATATACGATGTAGGAAACCTTCTATTACTGATTAAAAAAGAATATGTGAAAAGCAGTCCAAAACATCATAATGACTGATTTGAACCATACCTTTTTCCTTCATCAGGTAAATTTAAAAATAAGATAGTTTTTTATTAAACCAATCAGATTACTTAAACACATTCTTTCATGTTTATCGTAAAGTCAGATATCATATGACTTCTGAATCTGCAAGCATTAAAATAATCACAAATTAAACAGTAGAAAGCAAGGTATGGATCAAGAGTTAGTTTGATAATAAAACTATTACGCTTTATAAGACACATAGTCCATATCATAGCTGTTAAACTCAGTCTTTCTGGCAGTGGACTAGAGGGTACAGACAGTGAAAAGTGAAAAGAGAAGAGAAAGCTTGTGTTCTAGGAAACTGACAAAAACAGATAGCAGGCTCAGCGTGGCCCTCCAACAGTAGTTTCACAACACAAGGTCTAAATTGCTGATTCCAAAACCATATTCCTAAGTGTTCTCAGTTCTTCAAAGTTCATGGAATCAGCTTTAAAGTTTTCACTCAGTAGCTTCAAGTTAAATCTGTGTCTGTAGACTACTGGTATTTTTTAAAGATATACTAAAAATCAAAACATGTTGCTTAAGTCTATTTTTATAGCAAGTATCTTAGGCAAATTTAACCTTCCAAGCCTCGGTTTACTCATCTGAAAGATGGAGATAATTATTTATATAATGAATACAAGCTTATCTAAATTCTTCATCTGATAAATGCATAATATCCTTCAAAGTGTAAAGAATTGTATTAATGGTGGACCAAGACAGACAGAGTTCCTACACCATGACACTTTTCAGTCACTAGACAAGCAGAAATATTAAACTTGCACAAAAATATTGTAATTAAAGTAAGTTTAGGTCAGCAAACTGGATATTTTAGGTTCCGACATAATCTGTATTGCTGAAATATCCTCTAGAAAGAGTATGACTGATGTAGGTGGGTCTTCTGTCTATGTGTTACTTTCATTTGTTAATAAAGAAACTGCCTTGGCCTTTTGATAGGGCAGAATTTAGATAGGTGGAGTAGACAGAACAGAATGCTGGGAGAAAGAAGCAGAGTCAGGCAGTTGCTATGAAGCTCTGGCCCAAGATGGACATAGGTTAGAATCTTCTTGGTAAGCCACCACTTGGTGGTGCTACACACATTATTGGATATGGGTTAAAGCAAGATATGAGAGTTAGCCAAGAAGAGGCTAGATATAATGGGCCAAGCAGTGTTTAAGTGAATACAGTTTGTGTGTTGTTATTTTGGGTGTAAAGCTAGCTATGCAGAAGCCGGGTGGGACAAAAAGCAGGCCTGCTCGCCTCATCACTACATATGACAATCTTTATTACTATCAAAAGTACATGAATTAAGAGGAGGTGTGACCAAAACACACTGCATACATGTGTGAAATTTTCAAAGAATAGGTGAATGAAATGAAAAATAAAGTATATAAGTATGTATTTCATGCTTTCGTTAAAAGTTATATTTTAACAATTTCTAAATTTTGGTATTTTTTTGATATAGGGTCTCATTTATAAAGCCCAGTCTGGCCTGGAACTTGGCTGACATCAAACTAGCAATTGTGCTACCTTAGTTTATCAAGTGCTTGGAAATTTGGTAAGTCTAATAATAAACAAACAAACAAAACAAAAAACCTTGCTAATATATGTCATGGACAGTTCTTTGATCACTATTAAGGTGAAGACTTTCAGAGGCTTATTAACTAGTTCTTATTTTTGCTATTTTTCAGTTAACATAAACTTGTAATTCTTATAGATCCTAAGGTCTTTGAAAATTCATATAAGCCCTTCATGTATAGGATTAAGATACTTGTCTCATTTGGTAGGGTTAGCTCTCATGTTTCTCTATCACCCTGTTTATGGTTTCTTGATTTTCATACACACTTTCCTCACTTAGATATTATAAAAATATTAACCATATTTTCTTCAAGAATGTCTCTATTTCATTTTTTATATGTAAACATATGATCTAGCTGCAATTTAATTTATAAAATGAAAGAAGCAAACATCTAGCTTTCTCTTTACACTTTCTTTTCAATAAATGTGCTCCAATACCACCTACTGAATAAAGCATCTTCTTTCTATGGATTTGCAATCACCTTGATCTTGCATTGATTTTTTAAAATAAATTCTTAGATCTATTCTGGATTACATTTTTTCTTCACATTAGTCTGTCTATCTCAGCATCAGGAACACTGTTTCATGTAGTCTCATAAACAATTCAAGTAATTTGTTTGAGTGAGTTCTTTTCATAACTCATATCCTCCACATTATGTGTTCTTGGCATTTTTCAAATGATTAGTAAATGGTAGCATATATAGCGCTTAAAATACCCAGTTATTTTAAAATATTTAATGTTAAATAGCCCTCTCAAAACATCATCTAGAACCCTTTAAAATCACTAGCTTTATATTTTAATGGATCACTTAAAAATAAAACATCAAGTCAAAAGATAATTTCTGAAAACAAATAAGAGGAACTGAATTATATTATTAGTGTCCTTTCTATACCACAAAGAATTCTCTTAGCTAAACACAAAGAGCTCATCAAATACCCTGTCTAAAAAGGGAAGTTTCAAGAGGAAGCTCAGCTCCCAGAATCAATGCAATAAAAATTCATTAATATACATTCAAACCATCTGGTCTGAGGTTTTAAAAAATTCATGCACAAAAAATTATGAGTGTTTTAGTATGTACAGTCATCAAATCCCTGAAGACTAGAGCAGAAGGTTGGGTAAAATAAAAACCAAACATCCAAAACAACAACAAAAACCTCAAACAAAATAAAAAAAACAAACACAAACAAACAAACAAACAGTTTCAGCTATGATACTAATATTTTTATATAGTTTCTTCACTGAGAAAAAAATGAGAGAGAAGTCACCTAGGTACTTTAGAAATAAAGTATCTAGAGCAACATTACTGTTCTTTTCAGGCAGCGAGGAACAGAGGCTTCTTAGGGCTTTCTGGACAGTTAAGGCAGGCAACCTGCAGTGAAAAAGGCCTGGGCTGGGGAGGCTTTACAGGTCCAGAATCATGACACTCACACTAAATGGGATTTCCTCCAACAAACTTTTAGATATTTTGTTTGGCCTGTACCTTTGCCCAAACCTCCCATAAACATTGACAGACACTCAACAAAAACACTATTTTCTCTGCAAAGCTTTCTGGTTTTTCCTCTCCCCTTTCAGACCCTTTCACACTCGGCCCATCATATCACTGTGATAATTTATTTAAACTCTGCATAGCTAGAGACTGTTTATTCCTTTTCAACCTTTGCTGTTTAATTATAGTGCCTTGAAGCTTAATATAGGCTCAATCAAAGGTTTTGGGTGAATGAAAGCAAGAAGAAGCACACAAGCCCTACTTCTATCTGGACTATTAACATCATATGTGGGCATTAAGTTTGGCCTGACTCTGAGAGAGATACAGCACACAAGAATAGAAATGGTGACTTTGTGGTAAGGAGATCCAAAACCATGTCACCTGTGAACCAACTGAAGGAACAATCCATTAGCATTAATCATGAGTAAGAAAGCAAAACCTCAGAGCCATTTCCTCACCCATTCTTCCAAGAATTATTTACAGTATTGTGCTGGGTACTGGAGAGACAATCATTATCAAAATATTGCCCTTGTTCTCGTGAGCTTCAGTCTAGGGAGGGACAGAAACTAAATGATCCATGGCAGAATGGTGTGGTGAGGGCTGCACTTGGAGAGGTGGAGGGTGCTGTAGGAGCACGCAGAAGGTTTGTGGAAGGCTTCCCAGAGGCAATAACATTCGGGTTCCTAAGTATAAAAGGATAAGATAAGCAGGAGTCAAAGCGAAAGCAAACTGTTTCAGAGAAAAGTTTTAAAAGAGGTTGTAGACAGAAAAAGTATCTGGGTATCAAAGCAACCTTTATACCACATTGTTAGTATAGTCAACCCAAAAGGACCTAGAAGCACCTTAGAAACAAATCTCTGGGCCTTTCGGCATGTCTGCAAAGGTTTATCTGGATTAGGATAATTGAGGTGGAAAGACCCACACTAAATGTGAATGGCACCATTCAATGGGTTCTAGACTAGTAAGATGGAGAAAGTTAGCCAAGTACAGGCTCATCTCCCTCTGCTTCCTGGTTGTGGGCATGGCTAGTTGTCTCAGCTCCTGACACCACTGCTGCCCCACTCTCTACATGACCTGCTCATGAGCATTGTCTTAGACTGAAGAAACCCTTCTCTCTTCTTTAAGCTGCTGTTGTCAAGTATTCAGCTACAGCATCAAGACAAGGACCATGTTTACAACTCACCATGTTTATGAGAAATAGAATACTAATAAATTTAGGGTGCAGTCATTCTGACCACAGTGTTAAAAATGGCCTGGAGAGGGATAAGGCTGGAGGCTAGGGAGCCAAATCTAAAACCTAGGTGGGAGATGACAGTGGCTGCACTATAAAAGTGGCAAAGCAGCAGTGAGAAGGTCGTCCCTGAAAGTGCCATCTAAGAGCTAAGCCTCTTCTGTTGGCCCTAAAAGTTAGGATGTGACTAGCAGAATACAAAGAAACATATTTGGCTCAATATATACATGTCTACTAATATGATACAATTTGCCTAAAAAAGCTATTAAATTCCTAAAAATCTAAGGTACTCAAGAATTCAATAGGCAATTTGAAATACCAAATTTTGAAATGCTACATAAGAACAAAAGATTATTACTATTATCAGACCCAGGGCCTTGAACATGCTAGGCAAACACTGTATCACTGACTTAGAGCCCCAGACCACCAGGGCAGATTAATTTAGTTCAGAATGAAGGCTCCAGGAGTCTTCTACTCTCAATTCTCATTGGGAAAAATAGAGCATGCAGCCTTAATGTATATCAGAGAATATATGTGTGTGTGTGTGTGTGTGTGTGTGTGTGTGTGTGTGTGCATGCCACCAATTACTCTCATGAGGAAAATTGTACTTTCAAATTATGAACTCCCTTGATAACTGATATATTTCATGTAAAATGAGTAACTAAACTTCCTGTCCACAAACATATTGTTTATAACATGCCCAAGGCTGTCACATGAGCTACAGTTGCTATCATTATTCATATTAGCAACAAGGCCAACATCAGCAGCAGCTATGACTATGCCCCCTTTGCCTGTTTGTGTCAGATTAGCTCAGCTTCTCAGTTTCATGTTCATTTTAAAGATGAGGAATTATGCCAGAAAGATTAATTTGGTTGAAGTTATAAAACTGATGAGTGGGGAATAGGACTGAACCAAGCCTGTCTGAATCTCTGCCCATGGTTTTCCGCTTACACATTAGTACTATTGCTTAAGGAATATCTATCATTTGTTACCAAGTCCCAGGTACTTTGCCCTTCATCATTTCACTTCATTCATTTGTTCAGCTCACATTCATAATGCTTCACCTCAAAGGAGGTCAGACTGGACTGAAAGTGTGAGCTCAGCTGCTAAGAAGAATGAAAAACATTACAATTCTCCAGTTTTAAGGCAAATGCAAGCTTTATGGTGTTTTCACATTCATTAGTTTATGTGAGCTTCCCAACCCTGTGAAGTAAACAGGATGAGATTATTATTCTCATTTAAGTCATGATAAAATTAATGATCAGAGTCACAAAGTAACTAAATGGCAGAGCCAGCTCTCGGCAACCCATGAATTCTGTTGGACTTCTGTAGTTTTCTATTTTGTTATTTTCTGTTTTGGAATTGACAGAAAATAGCTTATAGAAAGAAATGGTAAGAGAAAAGAAGTAGATAATGATTATAATATCGTTGAACACATGGAATTATGGTAACAAAAGATATCAAAATACTTGAGCAAAATTTGGTAAAGGTATGAGTATGTGAATATGTAATACACAGGCATCACAGGACGCTAAGAAACTGACTGGAGTTTATGCAGAAACCACTGACTAAGAACTATGAGTATTAGTTTTATTCCTCAAATCTTATTCCTAAAATAAACTATGGAGGATGAAAACCAAATGTACTATCAGTTTGACTTGTTACTTAAATAGGTATGTTTGCATTTTTCTGTAGTTTATAAATGAAAGAAACCTTTACGTTTAATTTTGGTTCAACCTATCTTATGAATAATTTCTTTTAGAAAAATGTCGCTAAGCATATTATGAACAATGGCCAGGTTTGTTTTAGCTAAGACTTGGAAGACTAAGAAGTTACTTCCAGTTTGGTTAGTTTCCTGTTTAACCTATACTCTATGTAATTAACCACACCTCTTCCCTTTTGTTATCTTGGTCTATGTCCTCCTGATAAGAAGGGCCTGATAGGCCATCTAAGGTAATTACACACTAATTTGGCGAAGAGTGATTTCCTGGATTATGAAATAAAGACATATGGAGTTCTTCTCCTAGTGGATTAAAAACTGCTTACAATCAAATCTCTGGTCTAGTAAGTCTCCTTATTTAACAGAAAAAGAAAAGATCTTACCTATCTCCAGGATGTTAGCAGGTCCTATTCAAGAAAACAAATGTTAAACCATAGGTCATCATGATGATTGTAACAGAATGATAGAAAGGTAAAGTTCAGGCACAAAACAGTGGTTTGAAAACTTATCTACTACAATCATCTCATTTTTAAAAGAGTCTCTTGATAACAGTAGAAGTATGTAGAGCAATTGTGGGGGTTTGAAAGAAAATGGCCCCCAAAGGAAGTGGCACTATTAGGAGGTGTGGCCTTTTGGGAAGAAGTGTGTGTGTCACTGTGGTGGTGGGCTTTGAGGTCTCTTTTTTCTCAGGCATCCCTCAGTGTGATGGTCAGATGTAAGACACTCAGCTATTTCTCCAGCACCATGCAAGTCACTAATCTCCCATCATGATGGACTGAACCTATGAACTGTATGTGAGCTCCCTCGATTAAATGTTTTCTTTATAAGAGTTGCTGTGATACTGGTGTCTCCTCACAGCAATAGTAAGCCCTAGCTAAGACAGCATTCAATTTTGTCTTCCTTCTGAGCCTAAACAAAATAAAAATGCAGAGGCTGAGCAACTGTGCCTAGAGCATAACACTAATTTGGGATTATTTATACTCAGAATTTGGGTTTCCAGATCAAAAGAAAATATATTGCTTTTGACAAACACCTCTATAAATGATCATATATGCCTTTGATTTAACCAGTAAATTAATTGTAAATCAGACATTTAAGGATAACTATTTTATGGCAAGAGATTGGATACAATTTTTCATACTAACTAGCTTTTTCTTACCTTGATACTGAGATGCAGACTCTGACAGCTGATCATACTTATGTTTTCTCACATCATTCCAGTCTATTGTTATAGAAAGAGATAAGGATATGTCATGAGGAAGGAAAATACAAAATTCACTACTTGAGGCAGTATGCATTAATAGTTCTTAATAAGGAATGCACCTTGGAGATTTCATTCTAAGCAAATAATATAAATATAGAAAAAGGTTTTATTTTAAAAGGTTCAGCATTGTTGCTAAGAACAGAGTTTCAGGATTTGGTATCATCCCTTGGTTCAAGCTTGCTTGAGTTGGCTCTTTCTTTTGGTATGCTCCTGTTCCCTCCTTTTGGAAAGGGAGTGCTTTGTTGTAAAACACTATTTTAAGGTGTCTTACTTTTGTTTATGCTCTGGTACATTTGCTTAATGATGTAAAGATGTGTTGCTTTTGTTTATGCTGCATTTGTTAACTCTGTGAAGCTGTGATTCTTTGCCTGTCTAAAACATGTGATGGTCTAATAAAGAGCTGAACGGCCAACAGTGAGGCTGGAGAAAAGATGGGGGGGGGGAGCTGGCAGGCAGACTTAAATAAAAGGAGAAATCTGAGGAAAGGGAAATAGCAAGAGAATAGGAGAGGAGGATGCCAGGGGTCGGTTACCTAGCTACACAGCAAGCCACAGAGTAAAAGTGCAAGTAAGATATATAGAAGAAAGAAAAGGAAAAAGCCCAGAGGCAAAAGGTAGACCAAATAATTTAAGAAAAACTGGCAAGAAACAAGCCAAGCTAAGGCAGGACATTCATAAAAAAAGAATAAGACTCCAAGTGTGATTTGAGAGCTAGGTGGCATCCCACCCCCTGCCCCCAAAATGCCAAAAGAGTAAAACAACAAACTTTTGGCATTCCAACATGGGGCTAGAGTAACAGAACACACTACAGCAGTGTTTACTATGTGCCACTGTATATTGGAAATACATAAGTTCTTTATAGGCATTCACAGTAAGAAATTGCATGAGTCTCAGAAAAGACTGCATTTACTCCTTTGAACAGCTTTAGATCTGTTAAAGACTAGGGGATGTTTTTGAAGTTGGACTAAATGTATTCTGCCTTATTAGATTGCCAAAAGCCTATGGGCAGGCTTAAAGTAATATATTTGGATGTCAAATTGGCAAGGGGTAGACTGTCAATGGTTATTATTGTCAACTTGATTAGCTCCAGGGTCACTTAAAATATTAGGAATGTCTTTTGTTTGTTTGTTGTAGATCGGGTTAAGTTGAGAAGACTCTCCATCAACCAGCAACAAATGTGGGTGGTACCATTCTATGGGCTGGTTTCCTAGACTGAATGAAAAGGAGAAAACAAACAATGGCTGGCAGTTCAGGCCACACCAGTCAGAACAGGTATGAGCCCCACCTTTACTTGGAATCCTTCTATTCCCTCAGTTTAGATCCCAAAGACTCACTTCACAGACACCCCTTTCCAACTTTACAGCCCACTGTTGCTGCTGTGCCCCTACCCTAGTCCATCTCTGGCAGATATCTACTGCTAAGGTATAGGCCACACCAGCCAGAACAGTTAAGAGCCTCACCTGTCATCTAAACCCTTCTACTCCCTGGGTTCTGAACCCAAAGACTGAAGTCACACATGCACGTGCAGACACACCTGCCACCCCCTATAGGGGCAAATATCCAATGCTCAAGTAAAGGTCACATCAGTCAGAAGAATAGAGATCCCTTTGACTAAAGGCCACACCAGGCTAGCTATCAGAAGTCTAGCCACCTATCTACAGACTTCCTGCTGGATCAGAGGCCATGTTGACTGTCAGAAATACAATCAGAGAGCAGAAGACCGAAGAGGAAACAGAAACCAAGGAACAAAACACCAATCCAACAAAAATAAACTCAGAAATTGGCTCCTAGACCTATATTAATCTCAAACCCAGATGCCTAGACGCTAGTGTAAAAACACAATCAATAACAGTCATGACAATATGGTGCTACCAAAGCCCAGCTATTCCAACACAGCTGAAGCACAAGAAAACAACTTTAAAACCAATTTTATGAAGATGATAGCACAGCAGTCCTTAAAGAGGAAATGAATAAATGCATTAAAGAAATAATGGAAAACACAAACAATTGGAGTTAATGGATAAATCTCTTAAAGACACTCCCCCTTAGAAAAACCCAAACAGGTAAAGGGAATGAAGAAAATTGACCAAGTATGAAAATGGAAACAGAAGCAATAAAGAAAACACAAATTGAGGAAGTCCTGGAGAGGAAAAACCTAGGTAAGAGATGGGGAACTACAGATGTGAGCATTACAAACAGAATACAAGAGAGAGAAGAGAGAATCTCAGCCATAAAAGATATGATAGAAGAAACCGATACACTGGTCAAAGAAAGCATTACATCTAAAAAGTTCCTGACACAAAACATTCAGGAAATCTGGGACACTATGAAAAGACCAAACCTAAGAATAATAGGAATAGAAGAAGATAACCAGCTCAAAGGCACAGAAAATTTTCAACAAAATCATAGAAGAAAAATTTCCTAACCTAAAAATGGAGATGCCTAAAAAACACAAAAAGCTTATAGAACACCAAATAGGATCAGAAAAGAAAGTCCCCTAGCCACGTAATAAGACAGTAAACATATAGAAGAAAGAAAGAATATTAAAAGATGCAAGGGAAAAAGGCCAAGTAATATATAAAGGCAGACCTATTAGAATTATACCTGACTTCTCAATGGAGACTCAAGAAGCCAGAAGAGACTAAGAGACCACAGATGCTAACCCAGGCTAGATTACTCAGCAAACTTTCAATCACCATACATTGAGAAAATAAGATATTCCATGACAAAGTCAAATTTAAATAATAGCTATCCACAAATCCACTCCTACAAAAGAAAAACTCTAACCCAAGAAGGTTTACATTCATGAAAACACAAAATAATCTCACACCAGTAAAACCAAAAAGGAAGAGCACACACACACACACACACACACACACACACACACACACACTCAACATCACTAGACAAATAACAGGAATTAACAATCATTGGTCATAATCTCAGTAACAATGAACTAAAATTCCCAATTAAAAAGACATAGACAGAATGGATGCAAAATTAGGATCCATCCTGCTTCATATAAGAAACACTCCTCAACTTCAAAGATAGACATTACCTACGAGTAAATGGTAGAAAAAGATTTTCCAAGAAAATGGACCCAAGAAGCAAGCTGGTATAGTCATTCTAATATCTAACAAAATAAACTTCCAATTAAAATTAATCAAAAGAGATGGGGAAAGATTACTTCATATTCATCAAACAAAAAATCCATCAAGATGATGTCTCAATTCTAATTACCTATGCCCCAAATGCAAGGGCACCCATATTTGTAAAAGAAACATTACTAAAGTTTAAATCACACATTAAACCCCATACCTTAATAGTGGGAGACTTCCATACCTGACTTTCACCAATAGACAGATCATCTAGACAAAAACTAAACAGAACTAATGGAGCTAATAGATGTTACAACTTAATGAACCTAACATAACATTTCACCTAAACACAAATGAATATACTGTCTTCTCAGCAACTTTGGAACATACTCTAAAACTGACCACATACTTGGTCACAAAACAAGCTTCAATAGATACAAGAAAATTGAAATAACCCTCTGTATCCTACCAGACCACCAAGGATTAAAAGTGGATCTCAACAACAGAAATAACAGAAAGCCTACAAATTCATGAAAACTGAGCAACTGCCTACTGAATGACTACTGGGTCAAGGTAGAAATAAAGAAAGAAATGAAAGATTTCCTAGAATTCAATGAAAATAAGTGCACAACCAATCCAAACTTATGGACACAATGAAATAGGTGCTATAAAAACAAATAGGAGGACCAATGGAACCGAATTGAAGACCACATATCAATCCACATACCTATGAATACCTGATTTTTGACAAAGAAGCAAAGAATATAAAATGGAAGAAAGAAAGCATCTTCAACAAATGGTGGTTATAACTGAATATCAACACAGAAGAATGAAAATAGATCCATATTTATCCCCATGCACAAAACTTGAAGTCCAAATGGATTAAAGACCTCAATATAAATCCGACCACATGTAACCTGATAGAAGAGAAAGTGGGAAGTACACTTGAACTCATTGGCACAGGAGACCACTTCCTAAATATAACCCCAGTAGCATAGGCACTGAGAACAACACTTAATAAATGGGACCTCCTGAAACTGAGAAGCTTCTGTAAAGCAAAGGACACTTAAGACAAACAACAAGACAAAATGGCACCCTACAGAATGGGAAAAGATCTTCACTAACCCCACATTGGACAGAGAACTGATCTCCAAATTATACAAAGAACTTGAGAAAATGGTTATCAAAAGAACAAATAATACAATAAAAAAAATGGGGCACAGACCTAAACAGAGAACTCTCAACAGAGGAATCTATAATGGCTGAATGATACTTAAGGAAATGCTCAACATCCTTAGCCATCAGAGAAATGCAAATCAAAACAACTCTGAGATTCCATCTTATACCTGTCAGACTGACCAAGATCAAAAACATTGATGACAACTTATGCTGAAGAGGATGTGGGGTAAAGGGAGGGAACACTCCTCCATTGCTGGTGGGAGTGTGTAGACTGGTACAGAAACTTCTGATATCAGTATGGTGATTACTCAAAAATTGAGGAAACAACCTACCTCAAGACCCAGTAATACCACTTTGGGGTATATATCCAAAGGATGCTCAATTGTACCACAAGGACATGTGCTCAGTTATGTTCATAGCAGTATTATTTGTCAGAGCCAGAACCTGGAAACAACCTAAATGTCCCTTGAGTCAAGAATGGGTAAGGAAAATGTGGTACATTTACACAATGGAGTACTACACAGTGGGAAAAAATAACGACATCTAGAAATTTGTGGACAAATGGATGGATCTAGAAAACATTATATTGAGTGAGGTAACTTAGACCCAGAAAGACAAGTTATCATATGTACTCACTCATAAGTGACTTTTAGACATAATGCAAAGAAAAACCAGCCTACAA